AAACCAAAAAGTAATCTTTGGAAATTCTTAGTCAAATGTCATAATGGTAACAAGACATGTTGTTAATTTCATGTGAATTCGGTTTAACTTTTGGTGTTAAGAAAAAAGAGAAACCTCAAATGAGTAACTTGTAAATGAGTGAAGAGAAAAAAGTCACCTTGTCATGGCAGCCTATCAAATCAAGAATATTGCATCATAATAATCTAACGTAAAGATCAAGTAATGCTACAAAAAAACAGCTCAATACTGAAAACCAAAAATGCCCTTCATAACTCAAATTAAGGACTGGGTTTGAATGAGAATTTAGTTTCACCGCTTGGTTTTTCTATCATTTCTGGTCCTCTTTCTGAAGTCTCTATTCTCTGTAGGGTAATGCTTCTTAATCAATAAATTGGACATAGCTTTCTTCACAGATTCAGCAGCAGCCAAGAAAAACTTTCCCTCAATCGACACACTTCCTTGCAACTTCTCGAGAAGTTTTTCTCTCCCGGGTATTTGATTATCTTCCAACACAATTGGCTTTCTGTCGCTAGTATCAGGAGTACTTTCTTCTAAACTGGATATAACCTTCACTCGAGAGAAAGAAGGGTAATCAAACCCAGGCAGGTTAGAGACGCCTGTTACCATCCACAATAGTCCTCCGGCTGTGCAACTCCCAAGACTAGTAGGAATGAAACACTCTCCTTTGATGGAAACCAGCTGCAATAATCACTTGAAATGAAACATGAAGCCATTGTTGTACGATTCTAAGAAATACTTGTAGTTTAATATTTTTGATTAAAAATTCAAGGACTATCTTAGAAGGCTCAATTTGATTATTTTAAAATGTTCAATTGAGTTTGAGTTAAAAATTCAGTCTGGTCCTTACCTTGGCAACAGAAAGAGTTTGAGTAGAGAGGTCGCAGCTCAATAACACTATTGCTTGCAAGCTAAAAAGGAAGCATATGAGAGAAATAACATAAGAAACCAACAGACACACTTCTCAGAAGAAAATAAGTAGACACAGAATATAAAGACACTTGCCTCTGAACAGCCACTGCTACAAGTGAACCTGAGAGCGCGCACAGATCAGTAACAGTAGAATGTGCCAGTTCGCTTCCATTAGACTCTAAATGTCCTGCCTTCAGTAAGTAAAAGATGTCAAACCAATATCACTTATTTTCCCAATTGCACATCAAGACCCAAAAACAAATCTCAATTTCTGGTCCTATGGCCAGCCTCACCTGAACTACATGCTCCAAACACAGTTCGCCTTGTGGGGAATGAATTAATCACTCACAACATTTTGGTAACAAAAAAAAAATAGAATCAAGCTAAATCGACATATCTGTTGACTAAACCAAAATCAAGAGTTTCATGACTATCATTAACATATTACCACACTGCAAGAGATGACAACATGAATCTCACCAAACTTAGGATTGCTTCCTGGCTCAATGGCCAGAGCCTTCCACATCAGGTGAAGGTAAAGGGTACTAGAAACTCCAGCAATCTAAGTCAAAATCACATAGAAAAGAAAATTCAGAAAACATAATGCAAGTAGATATACCTTCACACCAACTTCACATGTATCAAGAAGAGATCCAGAGGTAAAATCCCACAATCGAACCTGGAAGAACAGCACTGATCAACTATCAATTTACTTTACACACTGATATATATGGATCAAAAAACTCTGAAAAGTCGTCAACGTATGAACACTTACTGTTGAATCACCCCCTCCAGACACAAGAAAACCCTGGGGATAATCTGGGGTGCAAATAAAGGCAAGGCATGATACAAACCTGTCAATAGATACATGAAATGAATTTGTGGTCAGGTAAAACACTACTACAAATTTGCAGAAGGAGATAACTTGCAGGGGAAAAGTATGAGATTTTTCCAACTTCATCAATTGGGACAAAGTACAAACATGAAATTCAAGGAAAAGATGTGATCCTAAAACTCACTCCGTATGACCAAGGCAAAAACTTTGTATTTCATGAGCTCCATCTAAAGGCTTATTAGGAAAAACAGTAACCTGTCATAAAAATACCATTGTATAAAATAGGTGTACAGACAAAGCTAGTATTTATACAAACAAATGGGAAGTTGATTTTACACGAATCTTAAAGTCCCGATCTGCACTAACAATGTACTTGCCATCTGGGGAAAATTCCTGCAGATAACAAATGTTAATAATTGGCATGCTTACAAATATTAATATGCTATAAGAATTAAGATTTGTCTTATTTTAATCCTAATTAAACATCCGGCCCTAAGAAACTTGTATAAACCAGAAGAATGGTTCCCCCACAAGGAAATATTTAAGATATATCTCCCGAAGTTACAAACTGAAAGGCTAAACTGGTATAAGAAATAGGAAAGAAATCATGATACTCCATTCGACAAGTTCAAGAAGAAGATAGAAACTGTTTCTTCAAATCTAAAAAACACACTGTGGTACAGCTAATCTGAGTCCTCACCTGTAAAAGCCTCCAAACTAGAAATATTAGCGAGCAGTTTAGCCCTGCTAGCACAATTTTTACTAAAAGAAAATATCATTATCATCACGATCCGTGTGAGAGTATAGTTCAATGTATTCAAGTGATGACCTTCAAGATGCCTAACAAGCAATCAATAAAACCAAACATATACAGAGAAAAATATATTTACCAGGCTAGTGATAATACTGCAATAGTGAGCAAGTAACGGTGCTGCCTTCTTGTTGTGTACGGCTTGACTTCCATCAAGCCCATGCAAATCAACAACCCAAACAACTCCAAATTTATCAGCAAAACAGACATGCAAACCATCATTACTTATTGTTACCGCACTAACTCTCTTCTCTGAACACCTGTTAAAAATTACAGAAATCAGAAAAATAAAATAAACCACACGAGAGAACAATGACATTAAAGATTGGATTGGTTACGTGCAAGTTCCAGAATGAACTAAAATTTAGCTATCTTGTACAATCTTCACAAGAAAACTCGCTCCAATGGCATCCACATCCCATCCTTTTGGTGGATTAATGAGAATTTTTTTTTTGGAAGACACTACGCAAATAGGCATACCAACTACCACAACTTATATCTGCATCATCATACTTCAACGATTTGTTCTAAAGTTCAAAAAATTTAGATTGCAGGGAACAGGGAGCCCTAATTCATACTTAGTCTTGCATTCACTTCTACCACAATAATTTAAGTATCTTATTCTCCAAGTACCTTAAACTTTTAACATCAGCTAACCTGCATAGGTTTCAAGAACTCACACGGTAGCAATGCAGTGCCAAGATTCCGCAGACCAAATCTTCAAAAGTTTGTCATCACCAGCAGAGACAAAGAGCTTTCCATTAGCCCCATAGCGAATAGCTCTTATAGAATCCTTGTGGGAACGCCCACCGGAATCATCCACTAACGAGACGGCACAATCACCTCTGCCAAAGAACCAACAATCATGTAAAAAGGGATTCCACAACAATTTTAACTTCCCAACATTTACCACTCAGCCAGTTTGAAGACTCATTTTTTAAATCATAATTCATTAGAACTAGAGAAACTTCGACTTCACGGTGAAGGAAAAGCATCTTCAGAGAAGAAAAAAAAAAAAAGAAATTAAAATCCATGGGAACGAAAACAGGCACGGAAAATTCGAATAGCAAGAGATACTTTCAAATTGTTGTTTCTTCAATTCTCAGCAGCCAACCAGAGCATAATATCCAAGCGAAATTAAAAGCAAGACGCAGTTCTTTTGCCACAGCAAAACACTCGCGTAACTTTCATGTGGCGATCACATCGTATTTCCAATCACGTTGAACCATTTAACTAAAAGGATACTAGAACATGGCGCGGGGGGAGATAACTCACTGGATATCGAAGACACGAAGGTCCGACCCGACAGCGACTGCAACCGAACTCTGGGTGGGGTGGATCGCTATCAATGCTGGAGCAACCTCGTTGTCTCCGTGACTCTCTCCCTCCTCGATTTGCGTATCTTCCATTTCTTCGGGTCTGCCCTGTCTGGGAACGCAAGACAGGTTAGTGTTTTTTTTTCTTAGGGTTTTTCTGCTGCGGTTTTTTCTTTTTTTTATTTCTTCTTCCCGCTTGACGGGTTCAGGCTTTTGAGGGAGAAGAAGAATTGAAGTTAGATGGGCTTTCCAAGGCCCGTCCGTCCAAGTGGTATTCTTCTTTCCTTCATTTTGTTCGAACACCTGCTCTGTCAACCTAATTGCTTCTGTAATTTCTTTTCTTGATGATTGTAACTTGAAAGATTAAAAAACTTGAGTCTGAAAAAACAATGGGGCAAGTTGAAATTTTCTTAGATCTGTCGAAAAATAAGTGAAAAGCAGAAAATGGGTTTGTTGCTAGATGATCCTGTATATCCAGAGGGGCAAGTAAAAGCAACCTATTACCAGTCTTAATCTTTAGTTTCGAAGGGCTACGCTTGTCGATTGTTAAAAGGACTACTTTCCCTCAATCCCAAAACAAAACACAAGGCCACATATTATCACTTACACACAAGGCAGCCAACTAAACAAAAAAAAAAAAAAAAAAAGAGAGAGAGATCATTCCTCATCTCCTAGTTCGATGCTGAGAAAAGAGCACAATTTTCACCACAAAACTAACAACTGACACCAATCGAGATCTAAATTCTCAGCTGGGTACACCCAAGAATTGTTCCGCGGCATCGTGTCATCGGAGCTACCTGGCGCCAAGTGTGCCTCTCGCTGCCCACCGTTAACGCTTCAACATCAGACATTGGCTTGATATCCCAGTTCCACCTATCAGGGCCCAATCACTCCGCCGATCACGTAAATCTCATCGCCAAGTCCAGTCATTGCAAAACCGATTCTCCTTCGGAACTCGGAGGCTGAACCACCATCTTCCTTGCTTCCCCTTCCTGCTTGTAATAAGTCCATGG